TGACAAATATCCAAAAGGAGATCTACACCATTCTGGGGGAGTAGATATGAATACTTCAGCCTGCATTGCTATGGACTCCCGGCTGCCCTGTACGACGATAATGTGAACCCTACTACCCCCACACATGAACAGGGGTGCTGTAACACCCCACTTTTCTAAAACCTTATTAACAAATACTTAACTTAGAAATGAATTCTAACAAGCACAATAAATCTACTAATCATCATTAAGAGGTTTCACCGCCACAATCACCATATACGGTGATTGCACAGGCAAAGAAAGGATCTAAACAAATCAAGCTTAACTAACTTTTAACAAACTAAGGGAATAACACCCCGGTGTCCAACAACATCAAAAATCTAGATAGGTCTACAACCAAGTCTCAAAATAAACATAACGGATAAGAGTTTAGACTACAACTAGCACACTAAGTTAATCTACTCTAACTCGATCGCTCTCAAGAACTAGGCCCACCTGAAAAGGGTAAACAAACAAACAAGTAGAAAACAACTTGTTAGCACGAAACTAAGTATAACGACACTCAACCCTGTAAAATACTACCGTATATACTTTTGGAAAACATTTGTTTCACACATTTAGATCAAGCATTCTCAATCACTTAAGCTACATTCAAACATGCTCAACATGACTTCTATATGCTTGCAACCTAATAACAATTAGGCATACTTTCTCAATTAATTAGCATTAATTTGCTTATCAACAATCTCATGCTTTCCCATATATATATATATATATATATATATATATATATATATATATATATATATATATATATATATATATATATATATATATATTGGTTCCTATGAGGTCAGGTATTCCCGTGCGGTCAGTGCGGCATACACCATTAGGTATGCATAAATGCACCATACAGTGTTCAAAAATACACCAGAATGAAATGCCAAAAAATGCACCACATAAAAAAAAAATACACACACATATAGTGTATTTACGAACACTGTGTGATGCATTCCCACACTGACCGCACGGGAAGACCTGAACCTGACCCTATATATATATATATATATATATATATATATATATATATATATATATATATATATATATATCTTATCATGGCTTCAAACACTAATTATACTCAAATTGATGGTTAATAATATAACTTAAGTTTTAACAAGCAATCTCATGCTAACATATATCTTAATAACAATCTCATATCATCATATATCTCAATAAGCAATCTCATGCTATCAAATAACTCAATAAACAATCTCATGCTATCATATAACTCAATAAGCAATTTCATGTTATCATATAACTCAATAAGAAATCTCATGTTATCATATAACTCAATAAGCAATCACATGCTATCATATAACTCAATAAGCAATCTCATGCTATCACACAACTCAATAAGCAATCTCATGCTATCATACAACTCAATAAGCAATCTCATGCTATCATATAACTCAATAAGCAATCTCATGCTATCACATAACTCAATAAGCAATCTCATGCTATCACATAACTCAATAAGCAATCTCGTGCTATCATATAACTCAATAAGCAATCTCGTGCTATCATATAACTCAATAAGCAATCTAGTGCTATCATATAACTCAATAAGCAATCTCATGCTATCATATAACTCAATAAGCAATCGCGTGCTATCATAAGCAATCTCATGTTATCATATAACTCAAGGAAAGACAATATAATGCCATGCTTCTTATCCTACTTCCATGCAACACGTGCAATCATTTAATCATGCAGTAAAATGAACATAATGCTTTATTATAAGTATAGATAGATATACATACACACTCTTTCTTTGGTAACAAGGAACACTTGTTCAACGGAGGTTTCTTAGAGTCACAACGACTCGCTTTTTCTTTACTTTCTCTAGAGTCACATTGACTCGCTTTCTTTAGAGTCGCAATGACTCGCTTTCTCTTTTTACTTATACTCGTGGACGAGGTAGGAACTTCACCATAATGTGAATGGACCTATCTGGGCTCGGCATCTAGCCAACCCAATACTCATCTCGCCTACAGAATCACGCTCTTGGTTGTATTCTCAAATAACTCTGTGGAATCAAGTATCGTACTTGTCAATGTGCACACCCCCTAACCAGGATTCCAAGCCCGGCGGGTAGTATCCTACCTAGTAACTCGGGAATACGCCTCGTTACTTCACATCGGATCGCAATGTCCGTTTCTTTCTTTACTTTCTCTTCTCTTCCGAAATGACATAGTCCTAACGGGCCTCCAAACCCTCGGATTACTCACACTAGATACATATAGATATAACTCATGCATTTCAATCTCACGCAACAACTTTACTTATGAAACTTGTGCACATAGCTTCTCAACAACTTCTCTTTTCTTACAAATTGGAAATCAAATATTATGCAACTTCTCAATGCAACTAGATAATGATTTTCCAAAATAGATATAAGTTTTAGAAAGAATACTTATGTAACACCCCGTGTTACGACCTTCAAACCCGAATTAATTATTAAATTAATTCAGTTAATTAAAATAATTAAAAAGGATTTAATTCAATTATAATTCTCCTAATTAATTTATGCGGTCCTCAATGGATCGTGAACCCTTGCCTGAACTAGAACCTTAAGCCCATAAGGAATAAGGAAAGTGGGCTTTATCATCCAGATCTCTGAATAGGTTTTACCTTAAACATATAAATAGAAGATTAGGAAGCAATTAGAACCCTCCTCACCTCTCTCTTACTCGAAAATAACTCTCAGGAGATCCAGTCAAGGAATTCCCCCACCATCAAGCTTAGGAAGATCGATTGGAAGAAGAATCTTAGGAAAGAACCTTAGTAGCCGAGGACATCGATTAGGGCTAAGAGGTAACCCATGTCTTACAAAACCTATTTTCCTTGCTATTGTTTATTGATTGGTTCCGTTGGTTGATTGAATGCGTGATTTTGTATGTATAACTTGTTAGAGCTTGTCGTTAGGTTTATATGGTGGATTATTGCTATTCTTGATATTCTTGATGGCCATGTGTGGTTATTGATATGATCTTATATTTAATTAAGTCTAGAGCTTGTCATTAGGGTTTATATCCTGAATCTCGTGTTGTGATGTTCTTGGTATTCTTGGGTGGGTTTATGCATGCTCGGGTGTTGATTCAAGTCTAGGACTTGTCTTTAGGGCTTTGCATATAGATATCTTGATGTTCTTGAGGTTCCGGGTGCTCCTGAACCGTTATGTGATTGATGTCGAGTCTTGGCATGTTTAGGAATCATGTTAGAACGTAATTGGAATTATTCTTGGTTTAATCTGTGTCAACCGAATCTGTAATGTTGTTGTTACGTGTTGGAACATGTTTGGACATGGTTTTGGGTTCCACGAGCGAACACCGAACCAAATAATCACCTTAGTACCAGTGGGGGTAGGTGGGGGGAACGAGTCCCCACCACCTACCCACGGGTAAGCTGCCCAATTCCAGCGGGCCGCTGGCGGGCCACCCGCTGGAATGTGACCGCCCACTGGCGGGTGGTCCTCCATCCGTCACCCACCCGCTGGAAAGTGGTGGCGCGGCGGGTTGTTTTCCCCCGTTTGACGTTTCCCCGTGTCCCATTATGCCCTATCGTACCCTGTTGGATGTTTATGAGTCTCGTATGATGTTTTGAGTACAGTTCTAGGAATTTATGTGTAGTGCGTATCGTTGCTATTATGCCTTGATTGTTATTGTTGATTATATGTTATTCGATTGAATGATTGATGGGTATTGTGATCATTACGCAATGATGGTTGAGATTGATGCTAATGAGATTGTGATTGGTGGAAATGAATTGTTGGCAGATAGCACAACGAGTGCTCGGTTATCGTGCTAAAGGCACGGACCACCCGTTAGACTTGCTAGCTAAAGGCTTAGGTCAGGGCATAAGCGCTGTGGTACCATGTCAGAGCTATATGCGCTGACTCCTTGGTAGTGGTGCTAGAGGCACGAATCATGCGAATGGCACTTCGGTGCTACCATGTTGGTGGACGTGTTGGTGGTTTCAATGTGCGGCATGTACTTGCTTCGAAGGAATAAGGGATGCGATATAAGGGTGGCCTGGGGGTACAGGTTAGAACTGATATAAGGATGGAGAGGAGTAAAGGTTTGAACTTGGTATAAGGTTGGAAGATGGATTGTGTGCTTGATGATTACTTGCTAATTCATCGTCGTTGGATCCCATTGTTGCCTTTAATTTCTATTTATGAGCATATTCGTCTATTAGGCCTTGTCTTGCGTTTTTAGGATGCATGCTAGTCTTTATGATCGTTCTATAGTGTCAAGTTTGTTGTTGTGTCTTGAGTCTTGATCTTGGTTTAAAGCTAGAGTTGCTTAAGTTATATATGTATTCCGGTTTCAAAATGATTTTCTTATATCTACTTATATTGTACTTAACGCGTGGGAGTGGGTTACCAGCATTATTCGCTGATGGTTGCTACGACATGTTTTTCAGGTGATGATCAGTAGCTAAGGAGCGCGCTAGTTGGAATTGTAGCCTTAGTTTAGTTAGTACTGGTACTGATGATGGCCTGCGTGCCTTGACTTGCGTTTTGGACTTACAGATCTTGTGTATTAGTTAGTTTAGCCTGTGCACCTAGGTTCTCAAACCTAGGTGTGGCATAGCACCCCGACTCTCATGAATAGTTTATGCTCTGTTTGGATGTTTAATAATAGTTTACATTATTTATATAATCTTTTAAATGTTTTAAAAATTAGGGGTGTTACAGTTGGTATCAGAGCTTAAGTTCGACCCTAGGAATAAGACCCTAAGACGAGACTTTAGGACAATAAGTTTGAATTCTAAGTACTTCGTCACGTAAGATCTAGGAACATTAGGACACGTGGTGAGGCTGTGAGTTTATTTACCATCTTATGCTTAATTTTCCTTAATATATATTCTATGCTTAGCATAGGAAATTCTTATAGTTAAGGGCGCGAACCCCTGACTTACACCCACGTCCGGTGTTGAACCTGTAGACAACTGGAATGGCACCATCAGGAGAACAATCAGGGACCTCTGAGCCCTACATTCGCGACCTTCTGACCCAGAACCTACAACAGTTGACTCAGATCGTTGAAACTCTAAACCACACCATAGTAACCAGCAGTGATCAAGCCCCATTAGACGGAGGTCATGACCTAGCACACCGAATAAGGGATTACGATCCCCCTTCTTTCGCTGGGGAGGAGGATCCTGCAACACTCGAAGAATGGATTTGGACATTCGACAGGATCTTCGAAGTAACGAATTGTCCAAGGGAGCATCAAGTCAAGTTAGCATCGTTCTACCTTCGGCATGAGGCTGACTCGTGGTGGGCACAGGAAGGGCCGGAACCAGGTGTGGACTGGCACGTCTTAAAAGCCAAACTGAGAGAACGTTTCTATCCACAGCATATCCGAGCAACCATGAACGAAGAATTCCTGCACCTAAGGCAAGGGAACACCTCAGTGGAGGAGTACTATAAGAGGTTCATAGAGTTGACTCACTTCACAGGTGGGTTGGTCCCTAAGGAAGCAATCAAAGTAGAAAGGTTCATTACTGGGCTCAACTTCGGAGGCAGGAAAGCCTTGATCGCAAGCAAACCAAGGACACTCGAGGAAGCCTACGCTAAGGCGGCCAAGCTCCAACGAGTACAACATAACCCTCCGGGAACTCCCGAGGCGCACAAGAGGAAAGTCGAAGGAAATCCCATAATCCCTCTACATATATTAAAAGTCGCCAGGGTCATTTCACCTCAAGGTCGAGGAAAGTCAATGTCACGGGTCTCGGAAGACAGGACGGAAATTACCCAGGGGAGAATCCTTGCCATGAGTAGGGCCCGAATCGGAGACAACAACGTAGTAACCGGGACATTTCTTGTACACGCCACTCCCGCCATCGTACTATTTGACTCAGGAGCCACCAACTCGTTCATAGCAACCAAATTCGCATCAAGGCTCGATTTAACAACAGGCACGGAGGTACAACTAAGAGTCAAGGTGGCGTCAGGCGAAGTGTTGAAGTGCGATCTTATGTACAAGGACATAATGATCGCCATTGGTGGAGTGGAATTTCCTAGCAATCTGATCCAGTTCGGGTTGGACGGCATACAGGTAATCCTAGGAATGGATTAGCTAGGGAAGTTCAAGGCACAGATCCTGTGCGACGAACAAAATGTAATCTTAAAAGCACCAAAATGTAAACGGGTATCCTACCGCGGATCTACCAAGGACCCGGAAGTCAAACTAGTAAATATGATGAAGATGAAGAAATACTTAACCAAAGGATGTGAGGCCTTTCTATGCTCAGTCGAGGATCTGGACGCCGGGAGCGACAAACCGCATCCAATCCCGGTAGTAGACAAATTCACGGATGTCTTCCCGGGCGAGATCCCCGGGGTACCACCACCCAGGGAGGTGGAATTCACCGTGGACTTAATGCCAGGCACCGCCCCCATCTCAAAGACACCCTATAGGATGGCACCAAAGGAAATGCAAGAACTGAAAACACAACTACAAGATTTACTAGATAAGGGTTACATACGCCCCGGCATATCACCATGGGGAGCCCCAGTGTTATTCGTCAAGAAGAAAGATGGGAGCATGCGACTATGCATCAATTATAGGGAATTAAACCAGGTTACGATAAAGAACAACTACCCCATCCCTTGAATAGACGACTTGTTCTACCAATTTAAAGGGGCAAGAGTGTTTTCGAAAATCGATTTATGATCCGGATACCATCAAATAAAAGTGGTCGACTAGGATATCCCAAAAACAGCCTTCCGAACACATTACGACCACTACGAATTCACAATAATGCCATTCGGATTGACCAATGCCCCAACAGTATTCATGGACCTTATGAATCGCGTGTTCCGACCCTACTTAGACGACTTCGTAATTGTATTTATCGATGACATTCTGGTCTAATCTCGAGACAGAGAAGAACATGAGAGGCACCTCCGTATTACCTTATAAACACTAAAGGAGAAGCAGTTATATGCTAAACTCTCCAAATGCGAGTTCTGGAAAGACAGGGTGGCATTCCTAGGCCACGTGATAACCAAGGAAGGAATCATGGTGGACCCGACAAAGATTCGCGCAGTCAAAGAATGGCCTACACCAAAGACAGTTTCAGAAATTAGGAGCTTCCTTGGGTTGGCTGGTTATTATCGAAGATTCGTGCCCAACTTCACCAAAGTGGCTCAACCCATGACGAGACTTATGAAGAAGGAAATTCCCTTCCGGTGGGATACCAGTTGTGCCTTAGCCTTCCAGGAACTAAAAGAAAGGTTGACCACAACCCCGGTTTTGGCACTATCCTCGAGAGTAGAAGGATTCGAAGTGTTCAGTGACGCCTCGAAGAAGGGTCTGCGTTGCGTACTAATGCAGAATAGTAAAGTGATAGCGTACGCGTCCAGGCAACTCAAAACCCACGATGAGAATTACCCCACTCACGACCTGGAGCTGGCAGCCATAGTATTTGCCCTAAAGATCTGGAGACACAATCTGTATGGGGCACAATGCAAGATCTACACGGACCATAAAAGCCTAAAGTACATCTTTACCCAGAAAGACTTGAATATGCGGCAAATGCGGTGGTTAGAACTTATAAAAGACTACGATCTGGATATCCAATACCACGAAGGAAGGGCTAACGTGGTGGCAGACGCACTAAGCCAAAAAACGAGCCACTTCCTTAACACCACGTGGGTACTGGCGGATGAACTATGTAGAGAATTTTAGAAATAGTAGAGCAAGGACAAGTGGATTCGGAAATCCAACTATTTAGCCTCAGGATCATACCCACGCTGTTTGAAGAAATCAAAGACGGGCAACAACAAGATCCTGAGTTAAGAAAGGTAAAACTCGGCCTAACTGAAGGGAAGAACAAGCCGTTGGAGCTGTTTAGTGACGGCAGCCTTCGCTATGAAGGAAGATAGTGCGTGCCCACGACACATCCCCACCTGAAGAGACAAATCCTAGAAGAAGGGCACGGTTCACCTTACTCCGTACACCCCGGAGGCGATAAACTGTACCAAGATGTGAAGGAGTTATTTTGGTGGCCTAACATGAAAAAGGAGGTAGCAGACTTTGTAAGCAAATGTCTGAACTGTCAAAAGGTAAAAGTTGAAAGGTGCAAACCCAAGGGACTCATACAGCCCCTCGAAATACCCCAAGGAAAGTGGGATTCCATCTCAATGGTCTTCGTGGGAGGTCTGCCCACGACACGAACAGGAAAAGACAAAATCTGGGTGATAGTGGATCGACTAACCAAGACGGCGCGGTTTATTGCCATGAAAGAGACTTGGACAATGAATCAAATTACCAGAGCCTACATAAACTAAGTAGTCAAATATCATGGGGTTCCACGAAACATCATTTCCGATAGAGACCCTAGATTCCTCTCGCAGTTCTGCAGATCACTACAAATGGCCAAGGGGACGAGACTAAAGTTAAGCACCGCTTTCCACCCCATGACCGATGACCAAACCGAGAGGAAAATTCAAACCCTAGATTTATCGGCCCCTACGAGATCCTAGAGAAAGTCGGGAACCTGGCTTACCGCCTCGCGTTGCCAGTCAAACTAGAGCGGACACACAACGTATTCCACGTGTCGCAACTAAAGAAATATGTACACAACGCGACTCATGTGCTCCAACCTGAAATAGTGTGCTTGGACGACACCCTATCCTATGAGGAGAAGCCTGTGAAAATCCTGGACACAAAGACAAGAGAAACCCGCGCGAAAGACTATAAAGATGGTTAAATTCCTTTGGTCCAATCATGAGACCGAGGAAGCAACGTGGGAGCTCGAAAGCGCAATGAGAGAGCGCTACCTCGACCTGTTCGCACAAGGTACCATGGGCTAGACCTTAGGGTAAGAAAATTAGGATAGACCTCGTCACATCTAAGCTTCGGGGACGAAGCTTCTTGTAAGGGGGGGAGGGTGTAACACCCCGTGCTACGGCCATCAAACCCGAATTAATTATTAAATTAATTTTGTTAATTAAAATGATTAAAAAGGATTAAATTCAATTACAATTCTCCTAATTAATTTAACCGGTCCTCAATGGATCGTGAACCCTTGCCTGAACTAGAACCTTAAGCCCGTAAGGAATAAGGAAAGTGGGCTTTATCATCCAGACTCTGAATAGGTTTTACCTTAAACATATAAATAGAAGATTAGGAAGCAGTTAGAACCCTCCTCACCTCTCTCTTACTCGAAAATACCTCTCAGGAGATCCAGTCAAGGAATTCCCCCACCATCAAGCTTAGGAAGATCGATTGGGAGAAGAATATTAGGAAATAACCTTAGTAGCCGAGGAAATTGGTTAGGGCTAAGAGGTAACCCATGTCTTACAAAACCTATTTTCCTTGCTATTGTTTATTGATTGGCTCTGTTGGTTGATTGAATGCGTGATTTTGTATGTATATCTTGTTAGAGCGTGTCGTTAGGTTTATATGGTAGATTATTGCTATTCTTGATATTCTTGATGGCCCTGTGTGGTTATTGATATGATCTTGTATTAATTAAGTCTAGAGCTTATCCTTAGGGTTTATATCGTGAATCTCATGTTGTGATGTTCTTGGTATTCTTGGGTAGGTTTATGCATGCTCGGGTGTTGATTCTAGTCTAGGACTTGTCTTTAAGGCTTTGCATATAGATTTCTTGATGTTCTTGAGGTTCCGGGTGTTCCTGAACCGTTATGTGATTGATGTCGAGTCTTGGCATGTTTAGGAATCGTGTTAGAACGTAATTGGAATGATTCTTGGTTTAATCTGTGTTAACCGAATCCGTGATGTTGTTTTTACGTGTTGGAATTTGTTTGGACATGGTTTTGGGTTCCACGAACGAACACTGAACCAAATAATCACCTTAGTACCAGTGGGGTTAGGCCGGGGGAACGAGTCCCAACCATCTACCCGTGGGTAGCCTGCCCAATTCCGGCGGGCAGTGCCCACTGGTCACCCGCGAGAATGTGACCGCCCCACCAGCGGGTGGCCGGCAGGTGGTCCTCCACCCGTCGCCCACCCACTGGAAAGTGGTGGCGCAGCGGGTCGTTTTCCCCCGTTTGACGTTTCCCCATGTCCCATTGTGCCCCGTCGTAGCCCGTTAGATGTTTATGAGTCTCGTATGATGTTTTGAGTATCGTTCTAGGAATTTATGTATAGTGCGTATCATTGCTATTATGCCTTGATTGTTATTGTTGATTATATGTTGTTTGATTGAATAATTGATGGGTATTGTGATCATTGCGCAATTATGGTTGAGATTGATGATAATGAGATTGTGATTGGTGGAAATGAATTGTTGGCGGATAGCACAATGAGTGCTCGGTTATCGTGCTAAAGGCACGGACCACCCCTTAGACTTGCTGGCTAAAGGCTTGGGTCAGGGCATAAGCGCCGTGGTGCCATGTTAGAGCTATATGCGCTGACCCCTATGTTGTGGTGTTAGAGGCACGGATCATGCGAATGGAACTTCAGTTCTACCATGTTGGTGGACTTGTTGGTGGTTTCGGTGTAGGGCATGTAGTTGCTCCGGAGGAATAAGGGAGGCGATATAAGGGTGGCCTAGAGGTACAGGTTGGAACTGATATAAGGATGGAGAGGAATAAAGTTTGGAACTTGGTATAAGGTTGGAAGATGGATTGTGTGCTTGATGATTACTTGCTAATTGATCGTCGTTGGATCCCATTGTTGCCTTTAATTTCTATTTATGAGCCTACTTGTCTATCATGCCTTGTCTTGCGTTTTTAGGATGCATGCTAGTCTTTATGATCGTTCTATAGTGTCAAGTCTGTTGTTGTGTCTTGAGTCTTGATCTTGGTTTAAAGCTAGAGTTGCTTAGGTTATATATGTATTCCGGTTCAAAATGATTTTCTTATATCTACCTATGTTGTACTTAATGTGTGGGAGTGGGTTACCAGAATTTATTCGCTGACGGTTGCTACGACATGTTTTTCAGGTGATGATCAGTAGCTAAGGAGCGCGCTAGTTGGAATTGTAGTCTTAGTTTAGTTAGTACTGGTACTGATGATGGCCTGTGTGCCTTAGCTTGTGTTTTGGACTTATGGATCTTGTGTATTAGTTAGTTTAGCATGTGCACCTAGGTTTTCAAACCCAGGTGTGACATAGCACCCCGACTCTCATGAATAGTTTATGCTCTGTTTGGATGTTTAATAATAGTTTACGTTATTTATATAAGCTTTTGGAATAAGGTTCAAATTGGCCATTGAACGTAACCTGAAAATGCAATTAGGCCACTGAACGAAAAAAAAGTGCAATTAGGCCATTAAACACTCAAAAAATGTGCAATTCGGCCACTGAACTCTCCAAACGTATGCAATTTTACCGGATAGCAGGTTACCATCAATTTTAGCAGGTTACCTGCTTACGTGGCAGCTTAGTTGGCATTTTTAATAATTTTTAAATAATTTTTAATAATTAATTTTAATAATAAATTTTATAAAAAATTGAAAAAAATTAAATAAAAAATAAAATAAAGTCATTTTTATTTTTAAAAAATTTTTTTTAATAAAAAGTTATTATTAAAATTTATTAAAAATTTATTAAAAATGCCAACTCAGCTACCACGTAAGCAGATAACCTGCTAAAATTGAGGGTAACCTGCTATCAGGTGAAATTGCACATTTTTGGAGTGTTCAGTGGTCTAATTGCACTTTTTTTTTCGTTCAGTGGCCTAATTGCACTTTCAAGTTACGTTCAGTGGCCAATTTGAACCTTATTCCTAAGCTTTTAAATGTTTTAAAAATTAAGGGTGTTACAACTTAGGCTTACATTAAGCCACTTATGCATTTTAAAACATGATTTGATCAAATATGCACTTTACTGTAAGGAGTACTTCAATTCCTCTTTCACCGTGAACTCTCAAACTGAGTATTAAATCATGCTTGAAACTCAATTCTTAGCAAACACTTAGCAAGTATTGGACATGCTCTTAAGCTCAGGATATGCTTCAAAAGCTAATAAATCATTTACTGAGATTAAGGATCATGCTTTATACATTTCAACATCTCTAAAGTTTGGCAAGAATTCTCGAAAAAGTCATAATAGACATTTAGTCATGCTTTTCTAGCAAAACTTATCAAATATTGATCATGCTCTTCATTTAATTTGCTAAGTCTAAATACATCACATTTTCTTCTCTGTAAACAATACATAGATTACTTATATGGCACAAAACATCACAAATCCTACTGTAAAATGCTCATATCTACTCCAAATTCAACGAAGTCAAATTCTACTAGTGCGTCGTAACGGTCCCGAGTGTCCGAGTCTCATGGGCCCGCGAGTCCCGATCCGAACGACACGTAGCTGGGCCACAAAGGACCTGGCCACTGCACTGCTTTGGCCTAGCGAGGCTTGTGGCGGGGCTTGAGGAGCCCCGCTGCCTGGATCCGCCAAGCGGCGGTCTAGGGCCACTGCTCTAGCTGTGAGTCGTGCCCTAGGGCCGCTCCTCCACGGGGCTTGCCAACGATCCCTGTCTAGGGCCGTTGGCTAGTTCCGTGACTCCATCTGGTGCACAATGTCTGTGCACCAGTGGGGCTCTTCTTCACCTGAAATGCAATTTCTAGAAATCCAACACTCCCAAATCCTCAACAACACAACATAGATAAAAAATAGATCACTTAATAGCTCAATCAAAACAATAATCTAGCATTTCTACACATTTCAACATCTAACTTGACTTCACAGAGTCTATAAAAGAGGTGGGAGTC